CACTTTGTTTCTTACTCCTCCAGGAGACAAGGTTACCTCCTACAAAAGCACAATAGCTAAAGGTAGACCTTCTATCATCAACACTCCCAGCCCAATCAGCATCTATATAAACCTCTATCTTCATGTGATCATTATTCTTGAATAATATACCTCTACCTGGACACCTCTTCAAGTATGATAATATCCTCTCAACTGCAAGGAGGTGTGTAGTTCTAGGAGAGTGCATATATTGACTGACAACACTGACTGCATAACCGATGCTCGGTCGTGTGACACAAAGATAGAGGAGTTTTCCAACTAACCATTGGAACATAGCTTTATCTTCAAGTGGCTCTCCACCCTCTGCACTGATCTTGTGATTATGTTCAATAGGTGTATCTGCAGGCTTAACACCCAACTTTCCAGTTTCTTCCAATAGATCTAGAACATACTTTCTTTGAGAAACAAAATTCCCATGTTTAGATCTAACTACCTCAATACCCAAGAAGTACCGTAACTCTCTCAGATCTTTCACCTCAAACTCTTGATGAAGGAATTGTTTAAGAGATTCACTCTCATTGTTATCATTCCCTGTCACTACAATATCATCCACATATACAGCAAGCAAAGTCAAGGAAGAGTCCACTCTCTTAATGAACAATGTATGGTCTGACTGGGCCTATACATAGCCAAATTTTTCAAGGGCTTGTCTGAATCTATCAAACCAAACTCTGGGAGACTGCTTTAGTCCTACAAGGCTTCATTCAACTGGCAAACCTTCTTTCTTGTCTCTGCATCATAAAATCTAGGAGGTAACTGCATGTAGACTTCTTCCTGTAAGTCTCCATTGAAGAAGGCATTTTTAACATCCATCTGGAACAAGGGCCAAGAGTAACTGGCTGCAAGGGATAACAAAACTTTAATAGTGGTCATCTTTGCTACTGGAGCAAATGTCTCCAAGTAGTCTATACCATAAGTCTGAGTAAATCCCTTTGCAACTAACTGAGCCTTATACCTTTCAATGGAATCATCAACATTATGTTTCACAGTAAATACCCATCTACATCCAACCGGTTTCATCCCTTTAGGCTAGTCAACTAGCTCCCAAGTATTATTCCTCAGAAGAGCATCCATTTCAACCTTCATTGCATCTTTCCACTCAGGAACTAACAAGGCTTCCTGCACTGTTCTGAAGATAGGAATATCAGCAATGGATGTGAGAAAAGACCTGTAAGAGGGGGAAAGGCGATCGTAGGATAGGAACTGGGAAATGCAGTGAGCTGTGGATGTGGTGCAACGCCGTTTGCCTTTACGGACTACAATGTGGAGGTCAAGGTCATCCAAAGGAGGTAAGGTTGCAACAATGGGACCTAGATCAGATAAAGGGACTGTGGTACCTAGATCTGGATCCGCAAAAGGAACTGGGGTTGGCCTGGACTGCTTATGACTCTCAAATCTAGACACCTCTGGCAACCCTCCCCATTACATCCCTCATCACTCAATGGAACAGGTAAAGGAACTTCTAATGAGTTAACCCCACTCTCACTACTCTCCCCTGAGGAGAAACCCTAGGATAATAGGGTACCTCCTCAAAGAAAGTAACATCCATCGAGACAAATCTCCTCCCAGAAGTAGGTTCATAGCATCAATAACCCTTTTGAATTTGTGCATAACCGAGAAAAATACATTTGGAGGCCTTAGGATCAAATTTGGAATGATGAGGTCCAAGAATCTGAACAAAGCAAGTGCAACCAAAGGTTTTAAAGAGAACAGTAAACAATTCTTTTTCGGGGTATAGAAGCGGAAATTGAGGCTTCATGTCAAGAACCTATGAAGGAACCCGATTAATGAAATACACTGCTGTAAGAATAGCATCTCCCCAGAAACGAATAGGCACATTGGAGTTAAACATAATGCTTCTAGCCACCTCCAATATGTGCCTATTCTTCCTCTCAGCAACCCCATTCTGTTGTGGTGTAAAAGGACAAGTACTCGGGTGAATAATCCCATGATCAAGCAAATAAGAGGCTAATGRGTTGGTAAAGTATTCTTTCGCATTATCAGATCTAAAGATTTTGATTTTGACCCCAAACTGGGTTAAAATCATCTGATGAAAGATCTAGGTCAAAGTAGGAACTTCATCTCGAGAACACATAAGGTAAACCCAAGAAAAACGGGTATAGTCATCAACAAGCAACAAGAAATATCTGTATCCCCCATAGCAGTGATGTGATACGGGCCCCAAACATTGGTATGCACAACATCAAAAGAATTACTACTTCTTTTATTACTCAATGAATAAGATGTTCTACAATACTTTGCAAGCTCACAACTCTCACATCTCAAATTGGACATCTGAATAGACTCAAATAAATTTGGAAACAAACTCATCAAAGACCGAAAGGATAAATGACCCAACTGATTATGCCAAAGTATAACCTAACTAACAAACTGAGAAACAAAAGACTTCCAATCTTCACTATCTTCCCAATGAAAACTCTCTCCAAGCAGATAGATCCCATTCGTCTCACGGCCAGTCCCAATCACCTCCCTTGTCTCTAAGTCCTGAAAAACACATCAGTCAGGGAAAAAAGTTACTGAACAATTCTGATGTTTTGTAATGCTACTGACTGAAAGCAAGTTAGTACTAAGCTTAGGAACATGTAGAACTGAAGATAAGGAAATGGTATTAGACAACTTAATATCTCCCTTGCCAGAAATGGGAACAAGGGAACCATCAACAATTGACACTTTATCTCTGCTAGAAGATAAGTGAAAGGTAATGAATAGTGATGGCAAGCCAGTCATATGGTCAGATGCACTTGAGTCTATTACCCAACAATGTTCAGTGTTACCTGAAGCTGAAGCATGATAAGCTAAGGCCCGAGTACCTGAATGAGCAAAGGCTGATGTGGGAGGAGCTGATGGCGGTTGAGATGATTGAGCTGAATTCCCAACTTCCTTTTCCAACTGAGTCGGGCCCGGACAGCAGCTAGGGTGTCTAGAGGCGTGCCTTTTGTGCTCAATGATGATGCAAAATTAGTATTAACAGCCATATTAGCATTACCCCTTTTGTTCCTGAGTTTTGCTAGAACTAGATGAGGGTGCAGCTTCCAACATGCGTCTTTAGTATGCTTAGGTTTCTTGCAATGTCCACACACTGGATCCCACTTATCTTCCTTCTTTATATCCCTCTCCGTATCACCCCCAGAATTAGGTTTAACTGTTGCCAAGGCTGGTGGTAAGGGCTAGTGCTGCATCATAATCTTTCTCCTAGTCTCTTCACTATGCACTAAGGAGTAGGCTTGAGATAAGGTCACATTTCCCTTGTTAGTAGTTGTTGTTTTACAATATCATAGTCAAGATTCAGACCATCTAAGAATTCAAAAACCCTATTAGTTTCAACTTGCTTTCTATGAATCTGTGCATCCTTCTGACTTTCCCACTCAAGTGTTTCTAGGTGGTCAATTTCATGCCACAGAGATTTCAAGGTAGAGAAGTAAACCGAGACTGATTTCTCTCCTTGCTTAAGGTTGTTAACCTCACACTTCAATTCATAAGCCCTAACAACATTAAGGGGTTGGGAGTAAGTCTCTTTCATGACATCCCAGATTTCCTTGGCTGTTTTGGCCCACAAATAGTTACGGCTGATATGTGGCTGCATAGAGTTGCACAACCATGTCATAACCAAACAGTTCTCCTGAACCCATTTGGTATAAGTTTGGTCCTCCTTAGTTGGTTCTTTCACATCTCCCAACAAGTAGTTGAATTTTCCTCTACCCTCAATGGCCATCATGGCCGATTGAGCCCAATCTAAGTAGTTTGATCCATCAAAGTTCACACTTGTAATCTGAAAGGCATTCTCAGACATGTTACCAGAATTTTTAGTCCCAAAAACACCTCCCCCCTGATTCTTGAACTCCATTCTTAGTCAAGAATTAATAAAAAAAGAAATTCAAACTACTGTAATAGAAAAAACAGCACCCAAACAACTGATAACAGCTGGCCTAGGTCTTCCAAGGAACAAAGAAGACAGAATTATGTATGAAACCAGTTCAAAATCTGATCTGAAACCAACAACAGTTCTGAATTTTAGGGTTTTCCCTCAAAACCCTAAAGGAAAAAAAACAGATTTTCCAGCCGCACCTCTCAGAATAGACCAAGATGATTTTGTTCAAAGTTATTCTCAAGAAAAACTTACTTTATGAAAGAAAATCTCTGGCCACCACCTTCTGTCTGATGCAAAACCCTAATCTTGAGGATCCGAAGCCTTTTCTAATTCTTCCTGACTACTGGAACTCTCCCAACCTTCTACAATCTTCTTAGTAGCAGCCGCACACTACCAATAACCTCCAAGAATCAGCCAATCCTCCTTCTTTGTTGAAAAACTTCTAAACCTAAGAGATTCTCATGTAGTCAATCTAATTAAACTAACATAAGAGCTCCTAGGTCGGCTCTGATACCAAGTAGCCGATCAAGACTACAATCAGTCTTGAATTCAAAAAAAAAATAATGAAGAAATTTCAGAAAAGAAGAAGAAGATGAGAGAAGATAAGAAGCATACGAAGAGATATTGAAAAAAATGAGGGTCGATCTTAACATCTGCCGACCCACTCTTAATATTTATATATGTTGATTAATTGGAAAAGGGTTAAATTGCCCTTATTGCTTACATGGCAAATAAACTAATAATAAAGCTGAAATAACAAATTGAAATAACTACCAACTAACACTGACATAACTAAAAGAAATATGCTGCCATACAAACATAGTGGGGACCACATCAGTGGGGTCCACATCAGTGTTCTCTACAGAGGAAAATAAGATGCCTTTGTTTCATTATTGTAGCCAAAAAAATGAACAAACTTATAACCCATATCCTGGAAATGGTTTTCTTTGATTTTCTCAAGGTATATTATTTTAATTTCAAATTAGAAAAAAGGAAGCACATCAAAAAATTTAACAAATTTCAGGAAACCAAAAAAAAAAATCTCCTTTGTGGAAGTACTTCACAATCAAATAGATGAATGCCATGGAATCTGGAAGCTATTTTCATATCACCCAAGCACTAATTTTCATATATTTTAAGTCCTTTCTAAAATAGACACAAGGACCCAGAGTCTTACCATTGTAGGTGTCGAATGTGCACTCTCCAATAAACTGCTTGATGAGATGGCTGAATTCACATGCCATACAGATTTATTCAATTGTTGGACTTGCTTACAAGACCTGGAAAAAAAATGAAACAGAAAAATGTCATGTAAAATAAAGTAAGAATATCTGTGTTACCAACCTACAACTTGCATGGTCAATTTGCACACTTATGCATAGGTAATATGGAGTCTCATAAGCTACCAAATTTTAATATTATTTATTAACTTTAGAAAATTAGATACACCTAAGCAGTGTTGAAGAAGGAAAAAAAGAATGTGGTTGTACCTCAACTAGCACATACTTTGTCATTCATATTAGTGCCTTGACCTGATATCATAAAAAGCATAAATGATGCTGATCATTTCAAGCCTCCAATCATCAATCAGTAAGAGAAAAAGATAAATCCAGCCTCTAGTTACCAGTCATCAACATTCTAACTCTTTAAAAGATTAAGGGTATGGCATCTCATAAAAGATCCCGAATAGAGCCATATCTAAGGAGATACTAATATACAGCTTTCACAACCCTCTTTTATCAAGAGATTTTATTAATAATTTCGGAAAATTTAGTACAATCATTAGGCAATCCACCACCCAAATTGCATCATATTACAACTTTGCCTAACTGTCATCCCATTTGCAGTCCTTACCCAGCTAAACTTAGAATTAAATCTCTGCACTAGGGGATTGATTTCCCTAAAAGCACGTCTGTATTTCTAAGGAGCTGAACTGATTTTCTTGGTCCATGAGACGACTTATTATGAATCTCCTTCAATTTCCAATTCCCTAACTCCAATCTGTACTGCAAATCTCATTCCTTGTAAAAGAGCCCATATTGCAGCTTGAATCGAGTCCCCAAAGCCAATTGACCATGAAAACAAGGCCACTACCACTCCTTGGTGGTTTCTAAAAAGATCCCCTATTCCTACTCTTCCTGGATTACCAAACGAGCTACCATCAAAGTTCAACTTTAGCTTATTTGTAGCTGGAGGTTTCCATTCCATTCTTACATTTTCTGCATGTCTACCTATTTGCGCCACTTCAATCCAAGACCTTATTATGTCATTGGTTGAGAATTCTCGAAAAAGGACCAAAGTTTTAACCCAATGTGCAGTCCTTACTGTTATGGCTTCAATCAATCCCACCTTTTATTTACTATTCTCATTGAAGATTTTTTTATTCCTTTCTTCCCAAACAGTCCACACCAATGTTGCTCTTACTTCCCTCCACTTCAGTCTTCCTCTCTTTTTCTGTTGCCTTAAGAATCTGGAGTTGAACAAACCTACCAATATCATGTGGGGGAACCCATCTGCAACCAAAAAGAGAACAAAGTATTCTCAAATGCTAGGCACAAAGGAGCAGGAGATCAATAAATGAGAGTCTCACTACTTTCCTTGCAAGGGATGCACACATGAGAGAAGCACTTATTTGGCCTTTCTTCCGTAGCATGTCACAAGTGTTGATCTTTCCAAGGAACACTTCCTAACACAAAGCTTATACTTTAGGAGGGATAGGTTTGCACCAGATTTCTTTTACCAGGAAGTTTACCCCTGAAGGTTCTGACATGGCAAGAAGGTTAAAAAAAGGAAGCACAAGAGAAGAGACCATCAGGTGAGAGAGACCAAATTCTACCATCTGAAATGTTTTCATTCAAAGAAGCATTTTCCAATTTTAAAAGTAAGAGAACAAGGGCATCCCATTGGTTGAAAACCTTAAACTTCTCTGTTGACTATTCCTCTGATGATACTTGGAGAAACTAGGAGTGGCTAATACTGCTACTACGAAGAATAGAAGTTTAGTAGAATGGATACGTCCTCCGAAGGGTGTCATTAAGCTAATTTTGATGGGAGTAGCCAGGACAATCCCAGATCTTCAGGTATAAGAGGGGTTCTAAGAAATATGGACAGCTACATTATTTCCTTATCTCCGGGACCAGTGGGAGTGGGAGACTCTACAAGGGCAGAGATACTAGCTGCTGTACAAGGGATCTAGATTGCGGATCAGCTAGGGGCGGAGCATTTACCAATTGAAGGTGATTATCAGGCGGTTGTGGGGTGGCTCTTGAACCTGGATGCTGTCATTTGGGGCCAGAGAGACCTCAAAAAAGTGAAATGGCTAATAGCAGTATGATAGTTAGTGTTCAATGGGTGAGCAGATTGGCAAATCCTGTAGCTGATTCATTACCCAAACAAGGGGCTTCTTGGGACTGTCTTTATTGGGCTACTTTGTATCTTGTTCTAGCTGAGTTTGAAAGGCTGTAATTAGTTTTTTCCTTGAGGGGTCACATCTCATGCCTCTCCTTGGGATGCTTGCAACTCTTTGAGATTAATAAATTTTTTTCACCCATTCATCAAAAAAAAGTAAGAGAACAAGGGAGTCACATTCACTATCTTTCAGATCTCTCTTAAATCCAAAATCCCAGTTCAACCCATGTTCCAAGAACAAACCAAATTTAGAGATAGGTTCAATGGCTCAGCCTAGTCATTGGATAAAGAGTAGAGTAAGGGATTTGTAATTTAAGGGGAAGGTCCCCACTCCAAAGATCCTCCCAAAATAATACTCTCTCCACACATCCCATATCAAAACAAATGAAGTTGAGATAGGTTGGCAATACCTCTATTATTGCTTTCCAAAGGGATTTTGATGAAGCATGAGTTGCCAACTTTGCATCCCAGCTATTTTCCGCCACACCATGAATACTTCCAATGACCTTATGCCACAATCTATCTTCTTCTAGAGAAAACGTCCAAAACCATTTTCTGAGCAGAGTTGTATTTCTCTTAATCAAATTCCCAATACCAAGTCTGCCCTGTTCTTTAGACTTGCAAACCTATTCCCATTTGACCAAGTGATCATAATTTTCTCAAATTGCCTTGCTATTCTACCCGGTATTCTTCCTCCCATAGAGATGTAATTCCATTTCCACAAAGTTAATTTTTTCGTAAATCTCTCTACAACCAGTTTCCAAAAAACTTTCTAATCTCGGATTACCCCCAAAGGCATACAAGATACTCTAAGGGCCAACTTTTAACCTCACAACCTAGTATTCCTGCCACTGGTTGAATATCTTGTTACCCCATATTAAATCCTGCCACCTAGCTCTTCCCCCAGTTCACTTTCAATGTTGAGATCCTTTGAAAGCCATCAACTAAATTGTCTTGATTGGCCTTAAAAATTAGTCTGTTTGAGAACTTCAGCAACAAAAGTAAACATGAAAGGGGAGATGGATCTCCCTGCCTTTTTTTTGCTAGGAATAAGTCCTTAGCTATTCTATTTACCAGAATCAAGACGTGTACTGAATTAATGCACCCTTTGATCCACTTTCTCCACCTCTCTCAAACCAATTTTTTCCCAAAGAACTAGAAGGAAAGACCAAATATCATATCATAAGCTTTTTCCAAATCTAGCTTGCAAATTAGACCTCTCCCTCCTTGTTTCTTCTTATCCACCATGCATCATTTGCCACTAGTATTTGGTCTGTTATTTCTCTCCCTTCTACTAAAGGCAAAGTTGTCTTCAACCTGCCTACTAAGACTTTATCAATGATTTTATAGAGGCCATCAATAAAATATCTCTTGATAAAGAGATATTTTACAATGTATTCTTAAAAAAAAAAAAATTGAATCTTCTTTTAGCTTTTATTTTTAGCTTCAATAACTCGTATAGATTGCGCTAGAGCTGGAAATAACTACAACTGCAACCAATCAAAAAAGAAAATAAACAAAAAAGAAATAAGATAACTTCTTCCACAAAACATACCCTTGTACTTATCAACTTTTATTTGAATATTGGGCCCATGGAAGGGTAAACATGTATAAAGAAAAATAAGGACTCCTAAAGTACAGCTATGAGGATACTGATCCACATTCATTTGGGCAAATGTGGTGAACCTCATCTACAAGAAGATGAATTGTCCAAAGAGACACATCTCTAACAACTGCATTATTCATTTATTGTACTTTAGGGTTCAAAGCTTCCACCATTAGTGTAAAGTAAAGGGAAGCAAGTATAGTTGGAACAATTTGAGTCTCCAAACAAAGTCATCTACTACATTTCTCAGACGTGTACCATTTATATATTGAGATTGAATCTCCTATCCACAAACTCTTCTCACATCCCTATCCACAGGACACTATAGTTATGCATTGGGAATATCTCCCTTGTCATTTATGACTTATGAGGAGATGTTCCCAGTACATGGTGGTAGTGTCTTGTGGGTAAGGATGTGGGAAGAGTCCTCCCCCCCCCCCAGCGAAGAAAAAAACAAAGAAACCAGTCAAGGTTGGCACACTTTGTGGGACTTTGTTGCTTCAAGTGGGTCTCATTTGAGGGATTAGATGGGGATTTAAACCTTGTATCAAAAGTAAATATTAGTTCTGTGTCATTATTGGCCGAATGCAATAAATTATAAATCCATTGGATTTCAGGCCTATACATGGTGGTAGTGTCTTGTGGGTAAGGATATAGGAAGAGTCCCCTCCCCTGCAGCGAAGAAAAAAAAAAAGAAATCAGTCAAGGTTGACACACTCTGTGGGACTTGTCGCTTCAAGTGGGGCTCATTTGAGGGATTAGATGGGGATTTGAACCTTGAATCAAAAGTAATTATTAGTTCTGCATCATAATTGATCAAATGCGATAAATTATAAATCCATTGGATTTCGGGCCCATAAGCTTGATAAAGTGTCTCCACAAGATCATATCAAAGGTTTTCGCTGAAAGGATTAAGCAGGCTCTACCTTCTGTCATTTCACGTTTTAAAGGGCTTTTGTAGAAGGCAGATTGTGGACCAAATCCTAATAGCAAATGAATGTGTTGGGATGTAAGGTGATGAGCTGGCCTATAATCTACCAAGGATTACCTTTTGGGGGAAACCCAAGAGCCAATGGTTTTTGGAAGCCAGTACTAGAGTTTGCTAAAAAACTAGCTCTGTGGAAAAGAAACTATATCTCCCTAGGAGAAGAATAACCCAAATTAGAGCCACTCTAGCAAACCTACCTTTATTTCCTATCCACTTTCCATGTGCCAGCAAGGATTGCAAGACAAATAGAAAAATATACGAGGGATTTCTTGTGGGAACCAAAGAATGAAAAAAGGATCACTTGGTTAAGTAGGAACATGCATGTAAGCCAAAGGAACTAGGGGGGTCTAGGGTTAGGAAATATCACTCTCAAAAATATTGCTCTTGAACAAATGGTTATGGAGGTTCCCCTTTGAAGATAAGCTATGGCACAAAGTTATAGCAAGCATTTGTGTGGAAGGTAATGGCTGGGATGCTAAACTCAACCCTCATTCAACTTTAGCCTCCCCTTAGAAAGCAATTCATGAGGTATACCCTTTGTTCCTCAATTCTACAAGCTTTGATTTGGAAAGGGGTGATAAAATTCTGATGTAGAAAGACCTTTGGATAAAGGAATATCCTTTAAAAGACCAGTTCCCTGACCTGTTTGCCCTTTCTAACCATAAAGGTGCACTAGTATCCTCTTTGGGCACCCCCTCCCCCTCAGGCAACAACTAGGACTTGGGTTTTAGAAGAGGCCTAAGGGTGAGCAAGTTTCTTTTTTTCCTGTGATTAACCTTCTTAATATCTTGAAGACTTATTTTTTGGACCTTCTCTTGGATGGTTCTAGAATTTGGGTACCTAATGGACTCTTGCTCTTCTCTTTTTAATTTCTTAACCTTACATACTTTACAAGGAGTGGACTTCTTGGTGAAAGAAGTGTGATCTAGGCCTATCCCACCAAAAGTTCAAGCTTTCTGTTGGGAATCGTTGCCTATGATGTGTTGCAGAAAAGGCCTTTTTGTTGCCTCTCTCCTCATATGTGCTTTTTGTGTAGGAAAAGTGGAGAAACCCTACCCTACTTATTAATCTCCTGCTCCTTTGTTCGACATATCTGGGAGATTTTCTATGATCTTTATGGTTGTAGGTGGATCCTTCCCCAAGAGGCGGCATACATTTTCAGGCCCAATCTCCTAAGGCACCCAAAGAAAAGAGGAAGATTGATGTGGAAAGTTACTAAGGCTGCAACTATTTGGGTGGTTCAGGAGGAGAGGAACAACATAATTTTTAATGGCAAAAGTAGACCTGTGGAGGAGGTAATAGAGACAATAAAAGTGAAGGTTTTGGATTGCTTTCAGAGTTTCACAGAGACTGATACTCTAAGGGATTAGGAGGAGATAGCACTTTCCTCTAGAGACAAAGACAGAACAAAAATGCAATGCAAACCTCCACAAGGCAGTAAAGTAAAGCTGAATTTTGATGGAAGCTCTTTTGGTAACCCCAGCATGGGAGGTATTGGTGGAGCAATAAGAAATTTGGAAGACAGATTGTTGGCTTTTTACTATGGACCAATTGGTGTGGCTAACTCCATAATAGAGACAATAAAAGTGAAGGTAGCATTTTGGATTAAAACTTTGGATTGATTTCGGAGTTTAACAGTGACTATATTCTAAGGGCTTGGAAGGAGATAGCACTTTCCTCTAGAGACAAAGACAGAATAAAAATGGAATTGAAACCTCCACAAGGTAGTAAAGCTGAATTTTGATGGAAGCTCCTTTGGTAACCCCAGCATGGGAGGTATTGGTGGGGCAATAAGAAATTCGGAGGGCAGATTGTTGGCTCTTTACTCTGGACCAGTTGGTGTGGCTAACTCCATAAAATCCGAATTGGTCGCTTCACTATAAGGTCTCAGGTTAGCTAAGCAATTGGGCTTCAGTCAATTGGAGGTGGAAGGTGACTCAAAAGTAATCATTTCTTGGGCAATATGTAACAGAAATACTTCTTGGACCCTCAAGAATGTTTATAGGGGAGTAGAAAGGATTGCAATAGATCTGGGTTAGGAGTGCAAATGGGTTAGCTGACTCCCTTGCTAAACAAGGGGTAGAAAGGGAACAATTGTTTTGGGCATCTTATTAACATAGAGTTGATTTTGGGATTGATATCATGGTCATGAAATCAAGGTTGTATTGTCTTTTCACATATAGTTAATATAATTAAAGCTTTACTGATAAAAAAACCATCGGATATTACTGATACTGCCATGTTACGTTCATCAAGTGGGGGCTCATTTGAGGGATTAGATGGGAATCTGAACCTTGTATCAAAAGTAGATATTAATTCTGCATTATAATTGATCAAATACAATAAACTATGATGGTGATTTGAACTTTGTGGGACTTGTGGCGTCAAGTGGTACTCATTTGAGGATTTAGATGGGCTTTTGAAAGTAAAAACTTGTATCAAAAGAAAATATCAGTTCTGCATCGTAATTGATCGAATGCAATAAATTATAAATCCATTGGAGATTACTACCATGCTATGCTCATCAATCAGCAACAAGCAAAATACGTGAAAATGGTTTCCTCCTAGCTGAGGACCTATCGAGCTGAAGTTTGGTGGGTATCAGGCCCCTTGGAAATAAGTGTGGTAGTCAAAGGGACAAACGGGAGAGACTGTGTTCTGTAATCCAATAGGAGAAGGTGCAGTTTGAGACAGTTCAGCTCACTTAGACAACCTTGAAAAAGTAGGTGTAGGGAAGAGATATTTCTATTGAAGCTCTTTGACAGTTTGACTTCAGGGTATTCTTGATGGTAGTCAGTTTCTTCTACCAACATATATGGTTTGGAACATCCATGATGATTATTGGCAACTCTGACAGGGTAAAGGTGAGTGCTGGTGTAAATTTACACCATATTTTCTAGTTATTAGTAAAATTCAATGTTACCAGCCAAAAACAATTTTAGCCACTAATGTCCAACACATGGAAAAATAACAATATAAAACAGAGGAAAAAAAAGAGGATATACCTTGAACCTGCCATTTTCAAGGAAACAACTGATCGAACTTCCTTGGAGGAAGACAGTGTGGCTAACAACCTTGCAAATGCTTCAAAAGTGGATGCCTCAGATGGGACATCTAAACACAGTGAGTTGTAACAATATGCTGTAATGCATGCTACACTTTTCTTGAGAAGTGATATCCCTTTCTGCAGGTCCTTGTGAGTTTCAACTGAATGCACAGAAGCAGAAGAATAATTAATGCTACCACTTCCAGCAGAATCCAGATGAGGTTTCTTTTCTGACTGTATTGAAGCAACACCAAAATTACTTGAACTTTTATCAGACCATGAATTCTCTGCACTTGTGGAGCAACAGTTCTCACGGGGTATAAAAAGGGGATATTCATTGCTGCAGGGCACATATCTTATCATGTAACTTTTCTTGCAAAAGATAAGATAGCAAGATGATATAAAATTCTAGGCAAAAATACCTCCGAGAAGATGGCCGAGCATCCCAATATGAATTCCTTTGCCATATACGTGAGCATGAACCCTAAATCAAATTTCGGAATTTTATAGTAAATATAATAATGTGAATATGGGTCAACCCTCAATTTTTGAAACAAATTAGGACAATGAACTCTTTACTATCTGAGAGAACAATCATGTCTTACATGCAGCATGCATCAAAACTTACCGCAAAACCTGAATTATGAAGTGCAGGTGCAGCCAAGTTCTGAACTACAACATTTAGAAGTTGCACCATGTACCTGTTTTGCAACCATTAGGTATTAATCTGAAATACATTAAATCTACAAGGAATAATTTATATGAATATAAACAAGCTGGACAAAATTTAAATCCACCTAAGAACTGTGGTCATATTATTTTAAGCAAAAATGAAGAAAAATGTTACTCAAAACCCAGAAACAGCAGATTTGATTGGCACAAAATAATGAAGTAAAACAGAGATATGAGAAGCAAGAGAAGAGAAGAAAGCACACACAATTGTTTACGTGTATGTGGTTCAGCCTTTAGCCTATGCCCATGGGAAATGGAGGAGTAGAAATCCACTATAGAAAACAGCAATGGAGGGTACATGAGAAACCTCTCATAGAAACCCTAAAGGCCTAAACCCCAAATACACCAGAGTTCTCATTCTCTGAGTGTTCCCTTTGCGCTCGAATACAATGAGATACATATTTGAGAAAACCCAACAACTCAACATATTCTGGTCAGGCCCATAAACAGAAAACGGATCAGGTCCATGCCTCTGCAAACATCACAGACCTCAATGAAATTTCCCCTTCGGTTCTTCTCCACAAAAGTCGAGTTGGGTCATGGAGTGGACTGCAATAAAGGAATTCAAGGCACAACAGAACAGAAAAGAACAAATGGTAACATATGTTTTTTTTCTCCATGGGGCTACACAACGGAGGGTAGCCCATCCCCCAAACCCAAGACCCCCAACCAGGGTGCAGGCGGGATTTGATCCCTAGTCTCCACTACAACCAGCAGGAGACCTTACCAACCAGCCAGTTGGCACCTTGCAGAACATATGGTAACATATGTCGACCATGATCATGGAATATCTGAATGCCTCCTCATTTAGATTCATATGCCATAGATGTTTAAATATCTCAATGCCACCTGCACCCTAAGGCTGTGTTTGGTTTGAAGGAAAAAAGGTAGGGAAAGGAGGGGAAGGTGTGGAAACCTGTACAAGGTATTTCTTTCAAACCAAACACAGCCTAAATATACATTTCTTTTAAAATAGCTCAAAAAAGTATTTCCCTACTTAGTATGGGACCCATAGGATAAACTACAATGAGAGAGATTGAACGGGATATTACTCAGAGTTAGTTGTATGGAATACAAATACACATTTCTACTGTTTTATGACTTTTGGATACATGGTAATCAAAGATATGTAAAGCCTTTGTAGGAATGACAAATATGACTGGCATGCTGTATGGAGAAGAACATAGCAGCAATAACAATTTTGAGAATAATGAATGAGAAGACTAGGAGATTTAAATTTAGAAATTGGAGGAATCCTGCCCTCTTGGTGAGAAGAGGAACCCAGCTAGGAGGTTTGGACTTGTGAAATAAATATCAATCACCTCAGCAACAAGTGGCTTAGTGAAAGTTTAAGGTAAGCAGGACGTGAGGATTAAAAGGAAGTAAGCTAACTCGTAGATATAGTGACTGAACCTAAAATATATTGAAAAATCAAATATTTAGGTCTTATGTAGTGCTATAGTTTCATCTTTAGTAGCAAATCGCTGCATTAAAATGAAAGAGCAAACAAAAAATACAGAAGCTCCCAAGTCCCAACATATGTACAATTGCTTGCTTAAATTGGTTATACCAAAAACTCTTAGAGTGACTGGATGAGGAGGATAAGTCATGCATGCATGCAGCACAAGGACAAAACTGGGTTGATTAAGTTACACTTGCTTATGCAATCCATATACCAGATGACTGATATAGTGAGTGCATATTTACCTTTTTTTTCATATTAAGCTTGTGACTGCATTCGATTTGTTTACCAGCATCCACATTTGTCATCTATCACTCAGTAAGGATCTAAGGGAACATTTCATGAAACTAGCATAGGGGGATTGCATTCTGACACCCGAATATGGACCGAGGAGGATATATAGGCATCTTTAACCCAAACCCTCAAAGATGCCTATATATCCCCCTCTCATTCTGACACCCGACTATGGACCCTTCACCCAAGCAGTAATATCAAAAAGGAAGGAGATGGCTAGGGGAGGATTGGAGGAAGGAGATTTTATCATGGCAACAAGCTGGAGAAGGACCTTGAAGGTTGAGACTAAACAGTTTCTTTTTGAAAGCTTTTGGGTGAAAGGGAAGAAAGCTCAGAAAATCAGAGAACTAAACAAGGCTATGGTATTACTGGTCGGGAAAGAATCTGTAGTATGGTTTCGGACATTCTTGGAGAAAGCAGTTCAGGTGAGTGGAAAGTTAGAGTGCAAAGAACTCTAGAGGAAGGTTTGTGGCTTTGTTGGAGTTTTTTGGGGAAGGAAAAAAACAAATGGTTTGTTTCCCTAAAGGAAAGTTGGGGATTGAATGGAAAGAAGTGTCAACTGTTTTGAAGGACTTCTTTGCCCGAGAGGGATTTGGAGAAGGTAGCAGTTCTGAGAAGGAAGAACAGTTACAGGTAGTGAATGGAGTTGGTGGAGCTAGGAAACAGGAGTTCCAGAAAGAGGTTGGAAGTGTACAAATTCTGGGTAAAGCAGCAAAAGATAGCAGAATAGTATGCTATGAACTCAAGAATGAGTGGGAGAAAAAGTTTATAGTAACTTCTATAGTACCTCCGAAAAACTGGAGGACAGTTGGAGAAGAGTTATTAAAGAAGTTAAACTTGAACTGTACTACCATCTTAACCCCCTTTGAGTATTGTAAGGCCTTGCTTGAGGTAGTTGGAGAGGAGTTACAACTATATGCTTTGTGTTGTAAATTGCACTCAGCTTCTGTATCTATCACAAGACTGGCTGGCTCCTTTGTGGAAGACCTCCATTCAGCTGCAATTTGCTTGAGTAATGTGCATCTGGAAGATATCCCCTCGTTCAGTAAAGCTGATGGTTGATGGAGTGTTCTATGTAGCCTGGCTGGTTACAGCCATTGAAGTTGCCTTGTGGAGTAAGGGGAGAAGGAAGGAGGATGAGAAGGTTGAAGAAGAAAGGCTATGAGAAAGTGAGGGATTGGTGTATTCAAATCTGGCAGACACTTACACTAAAATGGTATTCTTGGGAAAGGATAACTCAAAAGGAAAGTTACCAGCAACCAAGGGGAAAGAGCCATTAGGAGAAGAGGAAAAGGTGGTGAGCTATAGGTCTTATGCTCAGGTTCTGACAGAAAGAGGGAGGAGGGAGAAGGCTATTCGACAGGTTTCACCAAATAAGAGTGGTTCTAGTCAAGGTGGAGAGAAAGGACTGAAACGTTCTTTAAAAAAGCAAGGTGGTAAGGTGGTAAGAGTAGAGGGACACATGGGCACAAGTAGAGAGGGAACTTGTCTTAGCCACAGGGAAAGTTGTTCTAATGGACCTAAAGAGGGCAGGTGGGGTGGGCCGAGTCATTTCAAAGGCTGATTGTCAACAGGTCCTTAAAGGAGTGTTTGGGTCTGGCCCAGCCAGCCCTTAAAATTAAGTCATGTAACCACTTAAGTGGTCACGTGGGCCAACTAAAGGGACAGATGATGGACCTCTCCAATTCGAAAGGACGCAGGGAGGGGAGGTCCTGGGAGTTTCAGCTCGTTGCAGTGGAGACCTGTGTCAGCGCCGGAGCTAGGCTCGCCGGAAAGACGTAATCCAAGAAACAAGAGAGCCGGTTTAACAGAGGGTGTAGCAAAGGAGGACGATTTTCTGGAACTCAGTGAGGAAGATTCTGAGTTTGACGAATCTGAAACTTCAAGTATTGGGAGTATTCAGCCAGAGAAATCCCTTGGGTTTCGAGGGGATGAAAGTTTTGACACAAAGCTTTTCTTGGAGGAAGACGAAGGCAAAAAAGATGACGGTGAGACTGTTATCATCACCTCTGAAGCCGCCTTGTAGGCGGGTAGGGAAGAAGAGATGCCAACCAGCCTGGGTATTGGACACTGCCCGGGGGATCCAGAAGCTATCTCGAGGTCTCAACAGGTGCAGGGTGTTGTGGTTTTGGTTTCTAACTGTTCTTCTAAGCAAAGTAGGGGTGTAACCAGTAAGGGGGCACCGATTTCTCAAGTTCAGCCGCCATTCAACTTCAGTCTAACACCGAACCTCCGGAAACCGGTTCTTGTAGGTTTAGTCCCAAGACAAAAACTTTCTTTGGAAGTCCTTTAACAAAACCATCCTCTCCAGGTATGTTAGTCTTTGATTTTAAGAATACTAATGGGCCTTCTTTGAGTGCAACAGATTTCATCCAGACCCTTCCATTGTCTGCCACAATCCAGCAGGTTCTGGTTAGAGAGAAGGAAAATTGGTTTAATGGAGGGAGTATGGAAGCTGAATGGAAGGCACAAGGTGATAAAATTTGGGATTTAATCTTTGATTCCTTTGAGGAGCTGACTAGGAGGGATGCAGAAGTTGGATACATTGAAGAAGATGTGAATCTACAGGAGGCTAGCCAAAGAAAAGGGAAGGAAAGAAATGAGGGTGAGGGAATAGGGAAGTGACCGATGAATCAAGTGGCTGAAGAGATGGGCTTGAAGTTGAAAGAAGTAGTGAGTGTCATAGTGTATTCCAAAAAGAAGGGAAAGAAGGAAAAAGATCATCCAAGAAAGAGGAAGCTTTTGGAGGTAGAAAGATTAAAATCAGCAGCAGACTTAGAATTCAGTACAAGGGGGGAAAGAAGGAAAGGAACCAAGTAAGGGATGGTGGTGTCTAGGGTGGAAATTTAARTAATCCAATGAAGATACTGAGCTGGAATGTCAGAGGGTTGGGTAGTGCTAGGAAAAGGAGGGTAATAAAGGATTTGATTAGAAAGGAAAACCCGGATATAG